TGACAGCTGTAAGATACAACGCACAGGAAGAAGTGCCAACCTGTCCAGGAACTTTGGAAATAGTATCTCTTTGTACCAAGTTTGTCAAGTCACTCTGAAGAAGTCAGCCAACTTCCACGGTGACACCCTGACTTGGAATGCACTTCTCCTGCCCTCCTCAGCTCCATAGGCGTCACCATGAGGACCTGCATCTCCTGCATGTTGCATCCTAAAACTCCCTTGCTTCTAGGTCAAGCACCTCAGCTTAAACTCAGAGTCCACATCCCACAGAGACTGTGGAATCTGCTCTGAAGGCAGGCTCAATTTCATGCAATGAAAAACTGGACAGAGTAGGAGTCGGGGCGGGTGCTATAGTGGCTCCTGATTTTTCAGGGGAAAAAACAGGTTCTCTGAATCACAATAGCAAATAGTCTTAATTGCACTAATGAGCTGTGCCTCAAGTAAAGGTGGTGAAGGAAGAGCAAAGAGTTTTATGTGCTTTTACACTCGATGGCATGGCAGGAGACACTGATCCCACTGAGTAATAGAGGATAAATCATCTCCTCCGACCACTTCTACTACAGCTAATTAAGTCACATAGACCAAAAAAAATAAAGGTATTCAAAAGATGCATATTAAGTCTTTGATGATGCTTTAAAAAAAAAAAAAACCAAACCAGGATTTAAAAGAAGAAATTAAGACTGAAAGGTCTTCAGAATCATTTTTGTTACTTTCACCTCCTATGAGTAGAGACAGCAGCTGCTACTGCCATAGAGACAATCATATATTGAGCAACAGAAGAAAGAGCACTTTTAGACTATTGCCATACAGCTGCTGCCCCACCACTGGTCATATCAGACTACTGAGCTTATATCTTTGCATAACACAGAAGCCAATATTCCCTAGCTCCACAGAAACACAGTCAAAGGCGTGATTTATACTGATCTATACCTACTCACACACAGAGGCCAAGGCAGTCGAGGTGGTCAGTTGCATTACCAGCACCTGCTATCAATCTGATGACATGAAGCTTGTTTGGATTTTTTTTTTAGCACAGGCAGGAATTATGACTTGAAGTAATACACGGGAATTTAGCAATTGAAGACGCAGCTCTGCAAATTCTGAAGGACTGAATCGCTGGCACAACAGTAGTCCAAGTGCTGTTACAAAGTGGCTTTGCAGCTTTGAGCTCATAAAATTGCATTATTCGTTGCCTCTAAGATTAATGTACTTTTACCACAAAAATGATCTTAACTTTCATCAAGTAATATAAAGAGCAGCTGCTTGACACACCATTAAAGAAAGAAGTCTGCTGCATTTCCATATCACAGATAATCTTATTTTTAAAAATCTGATAAAATCAAGGAGATTACAGGGCATCTGCATTCTCACCCATTTACATTAGATGCCAAAAAACCCAAAGGAATGTTTTGTTTTGCTACTGAAGAATAAAATATCTGAGAGAGCTAGAAAGTAACCGAGTAGTGAGAAACACCCTAAGTGTTTTGTGTGGCAAAGGAGACACAGAAGTTTGGGAGAAATGACAGTTACAATAAAACCTTGTAACAAAGTTTAAGTGACACACAAGTTTGTTTGGCAAGATGTTTCTTCAAAAACTGTGCTGCTCTCGTTCCAGAATCTCTGCAATATCTTATTTGAAGTGGAGAGAAATTAATCTTTGGGAAATCAAATCAATTTTTAAAAAATATGTGTATGCACGTATCTTCACAAGTCCTGGACTAGCCTTTTCCACTCTCCCTCCTTCCAGAGGCAAATTTTGTGCTACACCTTTTCTACATTACTAATCCATTCCCCATGCGTTATCCTGCAAGTGCACACGAAGAGCTTACTCATGAAATGAACAGCTAAAAATCAGTATTAGCTTGCACCACAGGCCATCCATTTCCCAAATTATAAATTGCAGTTTTATTCCAGTTTTTAACTATCTTCTTGCAAAAAATGTTGTATTTCTTTGGATCATAGTCAAGGACACTGTAATTCTTGAACAGGCCATCAGGAAGGGATTTCCCCTTCCCCTCCTTTTTCTGCCTGGAAGGGGAGAAGGGAAGAAGGACAGGAGCAGTAAAAAAAACAGGTTAATGGAAGATGTAAAGTTTATGTCGCCAAGGGGTAACCACTGTAACAATAATAATAAAAACACTCAAGAATGTCAAGAAGGCCCAGGGGGAAGAGGTGGGAAAGCAATGTGAGGAATACAGAGAAGGTCCAGTGAGAACCATTGTTTGTACACCCAACACTAAAGCATGGCTGCATGACAACCCGCTACCTACATCATTGCTATATTTTGCTAGAAGACGGAAATATAAATATCCTCCAATGGCCTACAAAACTCTAATTTTAAGAGCTAAGGGAAAATGAGCATTAAAATATTACAGCTTATATACCAAGGGAGCAGCATAACCATGACACATCGTTCTTACTGTTCAATAGAGGTCAATACCAGCATTCACAGAAAAAACAAACAAACAAAAAAACCTTTCCTTTAGTCACTAAATCAACACACCTGTCATTTCATGATCAGGTGTATACTTCATATGAATGATCTTTCATCCGATTACTTCTGAAGTCCCACAATTCTTGGAAAGACAGCTTGCCAACCCATCATCACACTTCACATGTTAGACCGCATCCTCCCTTGTATTATCAGTAGGTTACTTCCTCTTTATCTTTTGCACCATAACTCCTCAGTGCCATCCAAAAAACAACACCTACAGAGTAAGTTGACTTTGCTCCTTGATAGTAAGCTGAACAAAGTTTTTCATCCCAAACTAAGATAACAAGTAATCTAGAATTCACTGCTGAGGACCCTTTACCTTCTCAAAATACCATCTGCCAATGTCCCACTGAAAATGGCAGCAGGTGTTTTTCCTTTATGGAAAACAGTCACCACATCAGTGCAAGGCTAGCAAATAGCCTGTTGGTAAGACTATGCAGTAATAAGCCAAAAAAAGTTGCTCCAGAAGTAAAGAACGTAACCTTGCTTCACAATGCATATTGTGGCATTCACACAAGTCTCTTACAAGCAGGTTAAGCAGGCAGGCTTTTTTGGTACTTAAGACATGTTTGGAGTAATCCAATGGTTTACAGGGCTAAAACAGGAATAATATCTATTCTTGCTCAAATAACAACTCAAAAGGCATCCCTAAAAAACTGTACCCAACAGGGACAATTTTGGGTGGGAGGCAGGGGGAGGTACACACATTCGCAGCTTATGGAAGAACCATAGGAGAGTCAACAGGATAGCCACTTTTAAGAACAGATCCCAAAGCAGCGAAATACATTTAGCTCCAGCAGTTAAGTTACTGCTTATCTACACGACAGAAAAAAGTGGCATGCACTTCGCATCATGACTAAAGCTGTAGCCTCAGTAATTACACTTAAAGAGGAAACCTGAAAAGGGCCCACATAAGTAGGTTAATCAAGAGCATCACTCCAGAACTATCAGTATCGACAAACTCCTTTTTCTACAGCCCATCTACTGGGCAATACAAGGTATAACAGTCACAGCTGGAGTTTTGAAAATTTCTGCTGAACACCTCCGTTTCATCTGTCTTCTATTTCAGAACCTGATTTTGACTGCATGTACCAGAGTGACTGGGGAAGCTAAGAAGACCACACACACACACAAAAAAAAAAAAAAAAAAAAAGACAGTGAAAGATGAGAACTTCAAAGGCGTAGTAGAGAGTGTCAAAGCCTGTGTTTTGTGCAACATCTAACTGCACCAGCAATTAACATCATAGACAAAAGAAGTCCTTGTTAAAGATTAAGCATCTATGCCCTTTCAGTCAGGAAGAAAGAGCTCATGATAAGTGCCCCAAGACATCCAACAGCAAAGATGCCTTAAGGAAAAATACCATAGTATTCAGATAGTCTTTATAACTCATAACAGATGAATAAGAAGAGGCAATTATACCCTCTCCTTTTAATCTAGCACAAACAACCTTTAAGTAATTCTTATATCATGTCAATAGGATGTATTTTAAAGTGTCCTTAAAAGAACACTATCAACACAAGTAGCCTTCATTTAAATTTCACCGAATTACTAATTTGAAGAGCATATATTTTATCACTTGTCATCACCACATTTTACACATCGTTGGCAGTGAAGAGAGACCAGTCAGCTTCACTATGATCCAGGCACTAGGGTAAGATTTAAGTAATTAATGTATGCTAGAAGTAAACACACTGTAAAACCCTCATTTAAGTTTCTGAATCTCAGTTTTGAAGGCTTAACTTCACAGAAGCCGGTCTTGAACATTTGGAGGCTTGCACCGCACAAAGCTTCAGGTGGCCCCAGAAAGCTATCAACAGCATGACATTTACCCTTGTTACTCTTAACTAGTAATTTATCTCCAATTTCTTTACAACAGCAAACACAATTAAGGGAACTGAGCCACCGGCACCTCCAATTGTCTGGAATAACACTATAACAAGTGATTTTTAAGGGCCAGAAAAGGCAATTATGCCATCTACACTAGTTCTGTGTCCTGCACATTGTAGGCTGACAGCCCCTAGGTCACAGCATGAAGTCTTTGTCAGACCAAAGTTCTTGCTACACTATTCAGCAACAAGCAGCTGTTTTGGGTAAGTGCATAAAAGCTACAGAAAAGATGCAGCAGCTTTTCAGTCACTCTCCACAGATGTCATTACTCAATCCCCTTTTTTCCACGACCGACCCAGGGAATTGGCTAGGGCGAGAAAAATAAATCAGCCACTGAAGCAGAGCTCCCATTCATCCTCCCAGCCCTTGGCTAGCCAGAAGGCTAAATTCACTCTGGAAAAGAAAACATGGAGCCACAGCTACATATGGCAGCCGGAGAACACCAGGCTAGCGCTCAGAAGTTGATGCACGTTGGGAAGGCACGAGAGGACCGCCAGCAGCACGGCAAGGACCTGCGTCGAGGGCTCTCCCTTCCACCCGGTCCGGCTCCCCCGGGGACCTGCTCCCCCCCCCAGCAGCGGCGCCCGCTCCCTTACCGGCAAGGAGGGAGGCACCTACCTGTGCCGGTGCTCGTCGTGCCCTTGCCCGTGGATGAGGAAGCCGCCCAGGTTCTTGCCCCCTTTGCTGGTGTCGACGTGAGGAATGAGCACATCCTCCAAGCCCAGGTCAAAGCGCTTGTGCTTCGAGGAGTCGGGGAGGAAGAAGAACGCCCCGAAGCACAGGGTGATGAAGGCACTAAGAATAAGGAGCAGGATAAATTTTTCGGAGAGTCTCAAGGTAGCCCTGTGGTGCGGGAAGGCGGAGGCGCCCAGGTTCAGGGGGGGCAGCCTCCGCCCGGAGAGCGGCAGCAGGGCGGGAGTGGTCATCCTTCTGCTAGCGACCACCCCGCCGGGCACGGCTCATCCCCTCAGC